GCGCAGCCTCGCAGCAAAGGGTATTTATTATTTTGTCTCAATGACCCGCCCCCACAGCAGCGGGCCAGGAGGGGGGAATTCTGGGAGTTGGAGTCCACCCGTCTTAAAGCAGCCGAGACCGAAGAAGTCTGCTTAGATGGAGCCAGTTGCCTTCCTTTGCCTACTTAATCCTCCAAGAAACATCTGGAGGGAGACAGCGGTTGAAAAAGCAAGCCTCTCCATCACAAAACCTGGTATCACGAAGCGGCTTCTTCAACCACGATGAACCACAGTGGCCAAGCTGCACCCGCTGCCTCACTGGGTAGAGACGGGTGACGCCATGAAACGTTGCTAGTGCCCTCCTGTCACAAGAGCTTGGGGGTGCCAGGCTATTTCTGGAGAGAGTGGACAGGCACCTCTGTATTCCCCAGACCGCAGCTTTCGACCCCCGGGTGAGGTGGTACGCTCGCTGATCCATCAGCCCGGGTTAAAAGCAAGCTGCGGGAAGGCCACTGCGAAGCACTGTTGCGTCCGAATGCTTGCTGTCCATCCTTGTCCTTCCCTGCAAAAGCGCAGCTGCGTGTTTATTTGTATTTTCAAAGAAAGCTTAGGAGACCAACTTGGGTCTGGGGGGCATCTTGGAAATAAAAAGGGTGCTGGGGGTCAGTGCTTTGCGCAGCCTCTCTCCATTTTTGATCAATGTAAGAAGTCAGCTGGGGGCAAGGGAGCTGGAAGGCGCCGCCTCATGCACCCCAGTTGGGGAACCCCAGGCTTCGCTCCACAGCAGGTGCCCCAGGGAAGCATTTGCCCTCCTGCAGACATTTTAAAGTTCATGCTAGACCAGAAATGCAGTGGGAAACTGGTGGCTACCGCTGTGTGTGAGCTGAAAACATTAGTTTTTAAAGATGTTGGTTTGAAAGAGGCTTCATTTCCCTGGCATTAATTTAAACACCTCCTTTAATCTGTGTTTGTGTTTCCGTGCCAGAGCAGAGGGCACTTGTCTGCCCAAGGGCCGGGGCAACTGGGCAATCTCTGTGGCGCTTCCCTCAACCCACTTTGGAGTCACCGCTGCTCTTTAGACTCTGCAATTGGATTTATTCCCACCCGATTCCTCCTCTGGCCCGTCTCCCTTCCAAGGAACTCTAAAGGAAGCCTCTGTTGCGTTCTTCAATAAATTAAGTTTATTTGGATTAGCATATTTTGCAAATGAATTCAATAAATTACAGAGCGGGTAAGAAACAAAATCAAGCAAAGCCACACAGAACAGCTGACCAGCACCCAAAAATACGGTGGGGGATTCGGCTCTGTAATGGAGAGAGCGAGGGAGGCGCTGGCTTTTAAGGAAATGCACTTTTGGCCTCACTGGGAAGTAACTTTTGAATTGCCTGTAGCCCCACGGATCCCTTTCCCAGCTGGAGCCCTCTGGGTGGGTTGAACAATCACTCCACACTGGCTTGGAGAACATGGGGGTGTAATCCAACACTGGGTAGGCACCCGCTTGGGAATCACCTCTGCTGCCATGGGGTGGCTTTGCCCCTTCCCCAATTGCTCGTACTGACCTCCCCCTTTGGACTTCAGATGATCATTCCAAGGCCGCTCCTCTCAAAGCCAGGTTAGACCCGTTTTCATATCTCAGGAAGTCTCTGTCGCTTCTATTTGTACCCCAGCTTTCTTGAAACATGCCAAGTCCAGGGCATAGGGTGGAGACACCCGTGGCCTCACCAGGGTTATGCCACTGGAGAAGCTGGCCCGTCAACTAGCAGGAGGGCCCAGTCTAGTTTCTCCGCGACCATATCAGGTTGGCTGGGTTAGAACTATGCCCTGGGCATAACTAAGATTAACTGCCAGGAACCTGGTTAAGAGGCTAAAGAAAGGTGAAGTATACAACTAGTTGGGGAACAAGAACCCCGACTTTAACCCAGGCTTCTCTCTATCCTACATTGTACCAAGATGGAGGGCCACCAGTTTGGGGAAGGTGAGAACTTTCACAGCTTGCTTTAATCCTCCCTTTTCACAAAGGCTTCTTGGATTTCTCCGGATTAAACTCAGTTCCATCAATAAAGAGGCATAAGCAGGACGCGCTGGACTTCACACAGAAATGAAGAAAGTGGTCGGGTGACAAGAAGCTGCAGATCCCCAAAGGGGGAAAATCGGGAGCAAAGCTGAAATGGCTGCTTGGGAGGAAGAGAGCGGATGGGGCCAGCCTTTTGGAAGAAGCCCACCCATTTCTTCCGTTTGTCCCCCCTTCTGCAAAATGCAATCTCAAAACTCAGAGCTAAGGGGAAGGTCACCCTGACATGAAATCCTTTTCTCACAATACATGGTGGCTTTTCCAGGCCTTGGAGAAAGGCTTCCTTCAGGCCATCTGAGTCCCTGCAACTCCCTGGGCCCAACTGATGCCATGGCCTTCTGCAGAAGGCCCCGCGGAGTGACCAGGACCCGGGCAGGTGCTCTGCCCACCACGGTTTTGCACGCTGCCCCTTCCGAAGGGATGCTGTGCCTGTTCCTGGCTGTACTTCGACTTCTCCAAGATGGGCCACCAGCAATCAGAAGAGTTGTGAAACCTCCAAGACAGTATTCACACATCGTGCTTGAACCTGGTTCCTGGGTTAACCCTTTTTCTGGCTTCACAGAGTAGATTGTGACCAACTTAACCCAACCAGCCAGGTTTGTACAACATACTACGCCACATAGTAACTGACCAAGGTTAATCCTAGCCAAGCCTGATGTATGAATACAGCTACCAGGTTGTCAATACCCTAATTAGCATTGCTGTGCAAACCCACCCAGGAACCAAGTGTGCAGAGTTCACGCAATGTGTCCGGCACCCACACCCACAAAACAGCATGCATACAGACACACAAGGCCACCCAAGATTAACGCCACCAAGCTTCACAGGTGGGGGAATGTAGTGATTTGATGTTTAACCAACTTGCTTAAATGTGTGGTACAAATACAACCGGTTGCCCCTGGAGAGAAGCTGCTCCAGCCTCGTCTTGTAATCAAGCCAGGATTTAATTCCTGGGCTCCTGGTTACGTGGACCAAATGGGGGTTTGCCTGCCAAGGCAGCACCTCGGAAGAGGGGAGAGGGACCATCTCTCCCTCTCTCTCAGCAGAGGAGGGAAGCCGCGGAGGAGGGTCCTCCCTGCTCAGCCGCTGTACGAGTCGAAGGCTTCGATGCCGGGCCCTTCACGCTCTAGGGAGGAGGTGCCAAGGCCATCTGCTGCCCTGGGCTCTCCCTCTGGGCCTCCACCCGGCAAGGCAGCCCGGAAGCCCTCCAGCCTTGGCTGGAGCTAGGCGGAGATGGGCCTGTTTTCAGCAGCGCTTTGGCCGGAAGGCCAGAACTCCTGCCCACCACAGAAGTGCAAACACAGACAGCGGATGGCTTGTAGTCCTGGGCCAGGGCAAGTGCCGGGCTGTCTTGACACCTTGTCCAGGAGGCAGGTCTTTCCCTTCCCAGACGTCTTTTGGAGAAGAGAGGGCTTTTCGAGAGCCCTCCCTGCATCTCTACCCTCAGCAGCAGCAGGAAGGTCACAGAGCATCACCTTCAGAGAACAGGAGGCAGCCAAGGCTAACTGCTGTTGCTGCCATCTTAGAGATGTGGGTCGTGAGTCTGCATCTCCCAGCACAGCGACCCGGTTGGCAGCCGTCGGGAATAGAGCTCACTGTTTTGAGAGGGTAGTTGCCCATAAGGGACCAACATCATCATCTTTGCAGGAGGGTGTGTGTGTGTGTCCACAGGTGTGTCCACCTGCCTGCTGTTTCTGGGATTTTGGATGATGGCACTGTTGACGCTGAAGGCTTCAAACAGAGGCTCGCTGTCTGTGCTAAATGTTCCTGCTGCCTTGGGCTTCAAAAGGAGCTGGAAGCGCATTGCTGGCCAAGATCTCTTCTAGAGCTGAGTTCTGGGCTTCCAGAGCAACAACCTAGTTCCTTCTGGGAGCTGGCATCATCCCTGGCAAAGTGATGGGGTGCAGAGTCCAAGGAGAGCGGCTACGTTTTCCCAACATCCTCAAAGAGGTAAGCTGAATACCAAGTGGCTGCATTTGCACATCATTGGTTAGATTTGGTTGGTGTGTTGTGGCTTACTGGTTGTTAGAACCCCACAAATGGATCTCCTGCCATATTCCCACCTTCCTCTCAGAAAGCAACCAACGGAAGCTGATGTTGCACTCTGGATTCTGCACAAATCCCTCTGGCCAACCTGGCCTCCCCTCTCCTGGTGCCCTCCAGGGATTGTGGGAGTTGAAGGCCAACCCTTCTGAATCTTCAAAAACCATCAGCGCTGGAAACAGCAGGACCTGTTCAGGTTCTCCAAGAGCTTCCTTTGCATATCAGGGTACTATGTTGGGAAAGCAGCTTTCACATACCTGGAGAGTTTGAACATTTTAAAGCAGTGCTGGCACTTTTGTTGACACAGTTTGTGGGATGCAGGACACATGGTGGATGCTCAGTGTCCCATTCGCCCCATGGAGCTTGGCTTCACTCCTGAAGTTCAGCAAAGGGGTCAGCTCCAAGCAGTCACAGATCAACCATTTCCAGAAGCCCAGGCAGCTGCTCACATCTCTGGCTCTGCTTCACTGATTCATCTCCAATGATGCCTTCAAGGCAGGATTTGGGGGCAACACCCCAAGGCCCTGCTCTAAAGCAAAGTAGCCCAGCTGGCCTACACTGTGGTCATTCCCAGTCCAATCTGTAGATGGGGCAGAAATCCATTAAACTTGAGGAAGAAAATGATTTAGCAAGGCCCCTGTTCAGATCTCAGCCATCTTTGCATGATGGAGTTCCAACTTCAAAAGGACTTCTTCTCTCTCTTATTGTGAGGCCCCAAAGATGGATCAACACCAGAAAAATCAAAGGGAGTGACAAGGAGGAATTACATGTTACCTTCATCCAGAGGGCCCTTCTCCTCTTCTCCAGGCTGCTTCAGAGCTGTCCCCTCTCTACCCACTAGGGGAGATGGACAAGTCATCTTCTTCACCAGGAAAAACAGCCAAGCTCTTGCCAGGAAGCCCTTGCTTCTTCAGTATCACCACCCACCTCTTTGGAAGCTTCAGAATGGGGGGGATGGTGAGGCCAGAAAGGATCTAAACAAAGGACAGAAGCTTTGGTTCCCTTCCTTTTCCATCTCTGACTGTTGGAGCTGCAAGTTGGTGGAACAGGACTTCACCTCATTGCTAAGACAGAAGGAAGCCCCAGAGTCTGTAGGGAGGAAAATAAAGAGAAGGGGGATGGTTGGGATGGAGGGAGGAGTCTTCCCTCCTCCTCGGTGAAGGAAGTAGTCTCTTCCATTTGCAGATATGGGCTCATCCACTCAGCCCAGCCTCCTGCTGCCAATGGGCTCACTGGAATTAAACCGTGGTCCCTCTTCGCTGGACCACCCCCCAGGTCCTGATCCCACGTATTCCTCACAGCTGCCGATCTGCCTGAAGACTTCCCTGGAAAGCTTTGTGAAGTGCGTGGTGGCCACATGACTCAGCAGACCTTTCCTTCTTTGCTGGTATCGCTGAGCCCAAACCAGCTGTGGATATGGCACTCTCCACCAAGCTGGGGTGCTGGACGTCACCTCCCCTCATCCACAGCCTAGGGAACTTTTGGGCTAGGGATGAGAGGAGTTGTGGTCCAGCCAATCTGGGGGGCACCAGGTTACTCTTCCTCATGCAAGGATACAAGCACGCAGAGGAGCCTAGTGGAGCAGGAGGGAAGGCGCAGCTGTTCGCACCGACTCCTAAGTTGACCTTCGTGCAGAAGAAAGGACAGATCCACCACCCAGGATGCATATCTTGAAGCCCCGGGTCTCCTTCACACAGATTGGAGGGCTGGGTGATCCATACCTGGTCCCCTCCTGGGGCAGGAGTCTTGAAGGAGATGGCAAGTGGTCTCAACCACGACGAGGGAGGGGGGCCACTGTTCAGAACTGCCTGGAGCAAGTTGTGAGCTCTTGCCCAGGAAGTCAAGGGCTGCTGCTGCTGCTGCTGCTGCTGCTGCTCTTTAAGACAGAGCTGGGACTTCACGGGCAGCAGGACAGGACCTCTGGCAGCTATGGAAGGGAGGGGACTTGCGTGTGGTTGTGCTTCTGTTAGAAGAGGTTGGCTTTGAGCGGAGTGGGCTTCCTGTGGAAAGAGGACAGGACGCCGGAGAAAGGTCCAGGCATGGCCTCCGAGGGCTGCCAGGCCTTCAGGAGGTCGGCCGTGTTGGTGCCGCCGTTGCTGGTGCTCACGCCTGCCCACAGGGGAGACTTGAGGGTGGGGGTGGCGTGGCTGGCGCCCACACCTTGCTGCCCTGTCCCGGGGCTGGGGCTCAAGCTGTCGGCAGGACTGTTCAGGCCCCCGGCAGCGGGCAGAGAGGCCGTGCTGTCCGGCGTTGGGCTGCAGTTGGATTCCTTGGACTCATCATCCTCCGAGGAGGACCGGGGATCTGGCTTCTTGCTGGCCGCAGAGCCGCCGCTGCCGCCGTTGCTCTGCCCCTTGGCGTTGGACGCGCGCTCCTGCTTCCGAAACTTGGCCCGGCGGTTCTGGAACCACACCTAAACCGGGAGAGGCCAGATTTACTCCCCCCAGATACGACCAGGATGGCCCCACCCTGGGGACCAGCCTCTTTGCCCCCCTCCCATCCTTAACCGTGGGACCCAAGGCACGCGTCTCGCTTTGCCCTGCCTCAGTTTCCCAGCTCGTCCTGTTTGCTTTAAATATTCAACAGTGATGTGGATTTGCAACACAAATGCCAATATCTGAAATGTAAATGGACCCCTTACAAGTCCGGTGTATTTTTACAAATACCGTTCTTCACTTATGAATTTAAAAAATATATATAAAAATAAAAAATGCATATACATGTAGGAATAAAAAATAAAAATCCTGCAAACAAGATCCAGAGGTTTCCCCCCCCCCTTGAATCTCAGGAGAATTTCAGTTTTCTTTTTGGGTGGGTTTTTAAAGCATATTTCATTTTTGCAAAGCTTATTTTATTTGGGGGTGGGGGTCCTATCTTTCCAGCTCTGGCTTTTTCCTGATTAGAAAACATCTTCGTGAGGTTTTCCCTTTAGCCAAAGAGGCTGCAAATGGCTTGAAGAGATGGACTCACAAGGAAGACAACAACTCACAAGCAACTTCACAACCCACCCCCACCCTTTCTGAGAATATCAGCAAAATGTGTTGCTTCTCTGAGGAAAAAAAAATAGAAAGCAATTTCTCTTCCAACAATTTGAAAGAAAGCAATTAAGCCGCTATGATTATTATTGTTGTTGTTGTTGTTATTATTCACAACAATAGCATTTTGGTTTTTATAATTTTTACTTAAATGCAACAAGATTAGTTTGAAATTAGCAGGCATTCTAACTTGAGCAGGAAGAATTCGCATCACCCTAACCGTCTGACTTACTTAAATAATTTTTACCCCAAACAACTTCTATCTCATTAGTAAAAACGTCCCAAACCTTCCCTCAAGCAGATTTATTAATTTATCAAATTTACAGTGCCGCCCATCTCAAGAACAGGGCTCCGGGCGGCTAATAATTAAAAACAGTATAAAAACAGTAAACACCATTATTATTTGCAACCTCTGTAATACAGGCCAGAAGGAGGGTCAGGTATGTAAGAAAAGGCGAGGAAAATAAATGACATTTGGGAACCGATCCTCCGATAACCAACCTTGGGAAAACCGGCTAAAACAGAAACCGTTCCGGGAGGGGGCAACCGAATGGGGGGGCTTCTCGTCTCATCCCATCTCCCCTGCTCGAAAAAGGGCTTCAGGTTTTGTCATCTACGAACTTGGTTTTTTCTGCTCTGCCTGCAGCCAAAGGGCCGCTGCAGGAACTTGGCGCGCCACGAAGGCAAAAACGGGTCCCTGGGCTTCCTCATCCGCAGCCCCGGAATCCAAAGCGAAAGCCGCACAAGGCTCCCTGGCGGCCCCCCCTCTTTGCGCCTCTTCACCCCAGGACTGTAAAGCCCCCTCCCTTGCGGTTTTTAGGAGACCTTCACAGAGACCTGAGCTTTGCTGACCTCCACCTTGATCTATTCCGGCTGATTTATTGTTACCATTGTTTTCCCCATTTTGATTTATTTTATTGTTGTGTCCACAGTTTTAAACTGCTGCGGTTCCCCAAGTCTTGTGAGTTGGTTTTTTAATTAACCATTTTTTAAAAGAATATAAGCCATGAAAGTAACACACACCGTATCAACAGAATAAATAAGTAAAACGGAGTTAGTAAAAGGCAAGTAAGTAAACGTGGGACCTAAAACTACTTATGGAGTTATGAAACAGGTTACCTAACTTTGAAAGGAAAAATTAAATTACTATTAAGCTAAGAGTACCTGTTTAACACAGTGTAAATCACCGACTAGAATTATAGGCTGCAATGAATTAAATCAACACTAGAAATCCAATTGAAATATAGACGTTAAACATTTCTAAAAAGCCAAATTTGAACTGAATGGCCTCTAAAAACCGTAAATAATAATGAAACGAAACGAAACGAAACGAAACGAAACGAAACGAAACGAAACGAAACGAAATGGATGCTAGGAACTGGCGGACTCTGTTAAGGAATCTGAAATCCAGTTTTCCAGCTGGAATGCGTGGCTCGGGAGAGACATTCCTGCCACAGATACAGTTGGAACAAAGCCACCCCGAACAATTCATCCCCAGCCCCCCACTGGGGATCAGCTGCAGGGGGAACCCACCTGCCTTCCTCCCGGGTTCAGGGGCTCGTAGGGGCAGACGTTGGTTCACGCCTGCGGCCCAGATGCGGGGCGGCCAGATGCGGGGCAGAAGTGGAGCCCCCCAGGCAGAGAAAGCTCCTCCCCACACCCGTCCGGCCCTGCCCCGGGAGCATCACAGTGGGGCGCAAGGGGGGCCAGAAGGAACGGGAGGGAGGGCGAGGGCCCTGCCAGCCCGGCTCTGTCCTCTGAGCACCAGGTGCTTCAAAGCGGGGAGGGGGGCGCGCCCCTCCGCAGCGACTCACCTGCACTCGGGCCTCGGTGAGGTCGATTTTGAGGGCCAGCTCTTCCCGGGTGTAGATGTCCGGGTAGTGCGTCTCGGCAAAGACTCTCTCCAGCTCCTTCAGCTGTGAGCTGGTGAAGGTGGTCCGGATCCTGCGCTGCTTCCGTTTCTCGTTGATGGTGGACGGGTCGGAGAAGAACTTGTAGGGAACTGGAGGAGGGAGCGGAGAGGAGAGGAGAGGAGAGGCTGCGGCTTAGGACCGGAGGAGAGGAGGCGGAAGGGGGGCCTTGCCCCGCGTCTGGGGGGGGCTAGTTTGGGAGTCCTGGTCCCGCTCAGTGATCCATCCTGACTCTCTCTCCTCAGCTGTGTTGGATAGGAACTGTAGTCCAGCACGCTCTCCTGCTGCCTACCCCCATTGGCATCAAGCAAGGGAATGGCTGCCCAGACCCCCTGTGGGGCTCCCCTCCACCCCTAAACGCGGGGTGTAAAAATCACTGAAACAAAACATTAAAAAGGCCCTTTGACAGGAACAGGAGATCCGCCAGGAGCATCACGGAGTTGCGTCCTTAGCCCCAGTTCTGAAGCAGGTGCTCCCATCTGGCCGTGGCTGGATGCTAACGGACCCTGCGCCCCCCCCCCCCCCCCCCCCCCCCCCCCCCCC